ATGATATGATCTTTAGCCTCTGGGGGCCTGGGATGAGTCTTCAAGAAAAGCTCCAGTGCTGACTTCCCACAGAAGCAGGGCAACAGTTAAGGAACAGCACACTATCAGTGATTGGCTGGTGTGATTGCACTTAGCAAACAGAGCTTTTCAGCAAGATGGAGAGGCACTCCTTGTTCTGTACTCTGGGGCCCTGAAGCACTGATTCAGTCCTATTTAATGCATTTATTACACCATAATTATCACGACTTATTTGTTTGTTGATTCTACAAATATATGTTGAGTGCAGCCTACTATGTGTCAGGCACAAACCAGGCACTTAACTGTTGGTAGAATGACAAATGGAACCTTGCTCAGCTTGAGAATGCAGTGTATATGTGTGTAGGGGGCATAAGTGTGGGATTTTTTTTTTTTTTTTAAAAAAGGTGTTGCTTGAGCTAAATTTTGAAATATGAGTGGGAGTTACCCCAGTGGATAAGGGGGGGAAAAAGCATTCCAGGAAGAGGTAAAAACACATGCCAAGGCATGGAGCTATATGGGGACTCCATCATTGGGGGATGGTATGAAGCCAGCTGGGTGCTGAATAGAAACAGGCAAGAAAACCTGCTGTCACATAAGAATCAGCCCAAAGAACTGGTTTGAGATAGCATGCTTAAATATTTGTTTAAAAGGGAATATAAATGTGGATTTTCAGGGAGAAAAATAACCCAGAGAATTGGGTTTTCTGAGATCAGGAAGCAGGATAACCCTGATAAGTCCTAGGACTGACCACCCAACAGGAAACTCCTTTTCAAAGCCTAAGAGCTGGCAAGAGGTGACTGTAGTGAATCACTGGGTATTTTCTTTTCCCTCTGGGAGACCCATTAACCTGAATAGGAGGCAGAAAAGAGAAAGAAAGAAAGAAAGAAAGAAAGAAAGAAAGAAAGAAAGAAAGAAGGAAGGAAGGAAGGAAGGAAGGAAGGAAGGAAGGAAGGAAGGAAGGAAGGAAGGAAGGAAGGAAGGAAAGAAGAGCAAGCAAGCCAGTTAGTCTACACACTATTGCTTTAGTGAGAAAACTCCAGTAAGAGGAAACATTTCTGAAACCAGAAATAATTTATGTGAAAGGACTTTGTAAACTGTAACATGTTATTCAAATATAAGGTACTGTCATGATTATCATAACAAGTGAAGAGTGTGGCCAGTTTACTCAAAGCATATGGGTGTAAGTAATGGGGGTAGAGCAATGGGGGGGGGGTGTCCTAAGAATGTGGCTGCCAGAGCTGCCAGCAGTTGCATTTCAGTGACACTTGGAAAAAGGCATACTCCATGTTGATTCTTGTGAATACTCTGTAAAGTTGCAATTCCCCCCTCACTTTTCTTACTCTTTATAGTAAATAATTAGAGAAATGCAGACTGATTCTATGAGAACTCCTCAAGGGCAAGGGACTCTCATATTTATAGCCTAGTGCCTGGCAAGTAGGTAGCACTTAGTAAATAAATGTGGTTCTCTGAAGGGTTTGCTGGAAGGGGAGGAAGGATGGAGGGAGATATTATAATGGAAAAAATAATCATGTCTTCAGCTGGACACTGATGGTCATGGTTTCTTGGTCCAAAGCTGGTAAACAATTCCTGTCAGAATTGGTCATTAAGACTGAGGGGTGGAGTAGATAATGATGTCCCATCAGAAATGAAGAAATTGATTTGGGATATGAGGGTAGCAGAAACTAAGAGCATTACCGGAGAAAAACATGTGGGACTGGAAGATAATAGATTCTGTAGCTATAAGAGAGGTAACTACTTGCATAAATATCATCCACTTAGGAGCAGGAGTACTGGGAGGGGGAAATACAGGGAGTATGGGAAATGGGCTAGGGAAGGTCCTACTATTCATGTTTGAGGAAAAGGAAGCACTGTCAAAAAGATGGCAAATGTGGGAGGAAGAAAATCATAAGAATATGGTCAGAGAAGATTTGGAAGATTAAAGGCTGAAAAATCCAGCCCAGCCAGTGTGGCCCAGTGGTTAAGCGTTGACCCATGCACCAAGAGGTTGCCAGTTTGATTCCTGGTCAGGGTGCATGCCCTGGTTGTGGGCCAAATCCCCAATGGGGGGCATGCAGGAAGTGGCCAATGTTCTCTCTCATCAATGTTTCTCTCTCTCTCCCGCTCTCCCTTCCCTTCTCTCTCTAAAGATCAATAAAGAAAAAAAAAAAAGGCTTAAAATTCCAGACACACTGGTATACGCTCAAGTGAGATTGATCGAGCCATTCTCTCCCCTTCTATTTCCTTTTGTAGAGCTTTTGTTTGCTTGTTTTTGCTTTGAGAAAATTAAGGCACCTGGTTACATCTTTCATACCCATTATGGAATACTCTGATTTGCAAACTCCTGTTGTGATTAGGGGACAGTTAGACAGTATTCTTAGGAGGTGATATCCAAGGTTCAATATTTGGGGAGCATCTGGAGCCATCTAGGAAATTTTTCCAGGGTTATGAATGGGTGCAATACCAAGAGCCCTCAATGAAAAGACAAGTTTAGAAATAAAACCTTAATGACAATCTCTGAATTGGAGCAAAGATCATATTTGCAGGCTTGCTTCTTCTGATTTTCTTTACAAACATATATCCCTGTTTATTTCGGTGTGTTAAACTGATGAGAGGGGTTTGAATTGAAAGAGCATTATAAACAGCTCTGCAATGGGGAGGTGCTAAACTAATATAAACCTTTGTCAGTTTACTCCATTGAGCTGTGCAGAAGGTGCCACACCCAGGCTTCAGGTGGCCATCAAGTTAAAAAGAAAAGCTAACAATTGGCAAACCAGGTTGTCTTGTTTTCTCCCAAGCCTGATCTCTCTTCTCACTATGTAACCCCAGGAGGCCAAGGAAGCCACTTCTATTAAAGGAAGATGTCACTAGGTTTGGCTGGGTGGAAGAAGAGAGGAAGGGTAATGGAAAAGCTCTCTCAGAATGGCTCTGTGGAGAATTTAATTGCTGAGCTTCCCACCAGTTCATTTTTTTGGATAAGAAATTAGAGTCTATCCTTGATCCCAAATTCACACTCTTAGGATTCAGGTGAAATAAAAGCACTACCACAGCCGAGGGGGCAAGATGAGGGTGCATTACTATGTCAGGTGTACAACCTTTTCACTTCCCAGACAACGTTCAGCCTTCCTCGTTTCTGCATCTTTCCCATTCTCCTCCTTATCATGCTGAGGCACTACGGGGCAAAAGTGTCCTGAGTGGTATCTGTGGACTAATGCCTGCTTGTGCATGTAGTCAGATGACCACAGGGCAGTGTGTCATGCTTCCTAAAAGTGATCCTGTCTCACCCTGGCTGGTTTGGCTCAGCAGTTAGAGCATTGGCCCACAGACAGTGAGTCTCGGGTTTGATTCCGGTCTAGGGCACGTACCTTGGTGGTGGTTGGTCCCTGGTCGGAGGCAACCAATCAATGTATCCCTCTCACATTGCTGTTTCTTGCTCTTTCCCCTTCCCTCCCACTATACCTGAAGATAAATAGAAAAATATCCTTGGATAAGGATTAAAAAATAAAAAAGTGATCCTGTCTCTCCTTCCTCTCCCTGAAGGATTCTGCAGCAGGGAGGGTTGTCTCAGGGCACTCCATCCTCTGAAGGGTTCCTCTACTTTCCAGGAGCGAGTCCTGTCAAAGACCACACCCAAAGGCCTCTTCCAGACCCAATTAAATTCAGAGCCACCCAGAGGCATCTTTACTGTGAAGCTGCCAGTGAAGGAAGCCACACCCTGAAATCCAGAGATTCAGTGTAAATTAGTTTCTGTAGCAGTCTCATTATCAATGAAAATCTCCTCATCCACTTAATCATCACATTTACTGAGCATATACTATTGCAAAGCCCTATGCTTGGTACCTTAATGCAACTCATTTAAAAACATACATTGTTGCTTCTGCCTCTCCTTGATACTTTTTCTCAAATAAACTTCAAAAACAGATTTCACCATTCCAAGCCTTGTGGCCTTGGGCAAATTGCTAAAGCTCTCTGAGTCTAAAGTGCGTAATGTTTAAAAGGAGATAATGTCAAGGCTGTTTAAAGATTATATAAGATGTTAAATATCCCTGGTGTAGAAATGGGCACACTGGTGCTCAAGAATCCTACATACCCTTTCTTCCCTCCTTCAAAGGACTTTTTTTTACAGGACCTGCCAGATTCAGTTGTTCCACCTGAGTTTACTTCTTTCTTCCTCTTGGTCAAAGCCAGGGAGTCAAATCTCCTTTCTTTGCTTCATAAATCTCACTGGTCCTTCCCTTCCTTGAGCCTTGCGCTCTTATAGAAGTTCCTGCCTCCACTAAAATCCAGCTGGCAGCCACTGGGCTACCACCGATAATAAAAATCCTAATAAAGGGCAATGGACGAAGGCAACAGCCCCACAAGGTCCTCACCTCTGGACCACTCTGGAGAGACACAAGTTTGGGAACACTGAATCCAAAGGGAGGTCAAGGCCAAAGTCCTCTGGGCATATGGAAAGTTACTCCTGGCCTGAATCCCATAGCTGGATCTACCCCCCGCCCCCCAAAGCAGAGGTTCCTTCCAGACAGTTCTAGGGCACAGTCTAAGGACCTCCTTTATATAGTGGCCCTCTGTGAAGGTCCATTCCCACCGCGAGGCTCCTGGTGCTCCCCTATGGTCCCTCATGTTCCCAAATGGTTTTCCACTGAGGCAACTCCAGAGACTACCCTTGCCCTCCCATAGTTACACAGACGTCACGCTGGGAATGGTGCTTTCCACACTGGGCTTCCCTCCTCATGGAGGCGAGCGCAGAGCCAGCCCTGGGAGTCTCCATTCACTCGGGGATTTCTGCGGGGACGGCTCGCACACAGCGCCTCCGGGACTCTCCCAGAGGGCAGAGGCAGCAGACTCGGGATTTACGCATTGACACAGGGACCCTTTGGGAGCGGCTTCCACACAACACCTTAGAGTCCCCGGAGGTTGTCTGCGGCCCGAAGACCCGCCCCGCAGGGTGCCAGCCTGGTCGCGCCGCCCCCGACCCCGCTTACCGGGACTGTCAGAGTGCGGGTCCGGGGCTGCAGGACTACACCGCTGGTCCCGCGCCACTCATGGCCTCTTGGAAGTCGGCGTGCGGGGCCGGGAGCCGGGAGCAGGCGGCGCGGGCGGAGCAGCAGGCTGAGGCGGCAGCGGCGCGCGGGCTAGGAGCACACCCACCCTCCCCGCCCTCCGCCCCACGCCCCACGCCCCACGCCCCACGCTCCACGCGACTGCGGCGCGTGCGCCCGCGCGAGACCACCCCAGGGGCCGGTGGGTGCGCCCCGCCCCGCCCCCTGCGCCTTGAGGCGCGGCCCTCGCGGCTCAGCTGGCGACCTCGCACCGGACTGAGGCCCCGAGGGCCCATGGGAGGGCGGCGGCGGGCCCTGAGTAGCTGTCGGTGCGGATGCCAGTGGGCGACCCCCACCAGAGCCTGGCTCTGCGGCGCGGAGACTGCGCCTGCCCGGCTGCCCGCGGCAAGGTCAGTGTACTCTGGGAGGAGGTGTCCCGGGACGGGGTCACAGCCGGGGGCTGAGGCAGCTCACAGCTCCCGCCTGCGCCGCGGCGAAGCGTCGTGCCGTCCGCACCTGGCTCGGGAAGTGAGAATGACTCATCCGCGGCCTCGGCTGGGCGCTACCTCCCCTTCCAAGCCTAGCTGATCACTCAGGCATGCAGCCGGCCCACGACCCTGGCCTTGGGGCACTCATCTTCGCAGTACTCCACTACGGAGTGTCCAAATGAGCTGGCACAAAATGCTTGCCTGGCCCGACTCTTCCTGAGGTAGTTTCTTAAATTATTAGCCTTTCGTTTCCAACAGCGAAGCATTGCTGTATGTAATGTAACCCACTTTTTGCTGCAGCAACCTCTTCCCTCAGACTGTCTGAACAGCCAGCTTGTCAGGAGGCCAGCAGTTTTGTAATGCATACAACTTGCTCTAGCAACTAATAAAGAAATAACTGAACATACGTAAATGATATGCCAAGAACGCTTTATTTAAGTTAATTGCATTTACATTTTAACACACTTTAATTTTCTTGTGCACTTAGTTTCTTTCGTTTTTTAGATTTTATTTATTTTTTAATTTTATTTAATTTTTGTTACAGATGTTTCTCCTTTTTTACCCCATTGACACCTTCCTCCCTATCCCCCACCCCCACCCCGTCCCCGGCTTTGTTGTCGGTGTCCATTGGTTATGGGTACATGCATATAACTTCTGTGGCTCATCTCTTCCCTCCCCCCACCACCCCCTCTTCTGAGGGTTGTCAGTCTGTACCCTACTTCCACCTCTGGGTCTACCCTATTCCTCAGACTGTTGTTTTCATTACATTCCACAAATAAGTGATCATGTGGTATTTGTCTTTTTCTGCTTGGCTTGTTTCGCTTAGTATAATACTTTCCAAGACCCTCCATATTGTCTCAAAGGATAAGAGATCTTTCTTTCTTACAGCTGCATAGTACTCCGTTGTGTATATGTACCACTGCTTTTTTAGCCATTCGTCTACTGATGGACACTTGGGCTGTTTCCAGATCTTAGCTATTGTAAATAGTGCTGCTATGAACATGGGGGTACATATATCCTTTCTGATTGGTGTTTCAGGCTCCTTAGGGTATATTCCTAGAAGTGGGATCACTGGGTCAAATGGCAATTCAATTTTTAATATTTTGAGGTAACACCATAGTGTTTTTCATAGTGGCTGCACCAATCTGCATTCCCACCAGCAGTGTACTAGAGTCCCCTTTTCTCCACACCCTTGCCAATACTTGTTTGGTGATTTGTTGACGGTGGCCATTCTGACAGGTGTGAGGTGATACCTCATTGTTGTTTTAATTTGCATCTCTCTGATGATTAGTGATGTTGAGCATTTCTTCATATGTCTCTTGGCCATTTGTATGTCCTGTTTGGAGAGGTGTCTATTCAGCTCCTCTGCCCATTTTTAAATTGGGTTCTTTGTCTTCCTTTTGTTGAGTTGTGTGAGCACTCTCTATATTTTGGAAATTAACCCCTTATCTGATGTATCATTGGCAATGATGCTCTCCCATACAGTGGGTTGCCTTTCCATTTTGATGGTTGTTTCTTTTGCTGTGCAGAAGCTTTTGAGTTTGATGTAGTTCCATGTGTTCATTTTTTCCTTTGTTTCTGTTTCCTTAGGTGATGTATCAGTGAAAATTCTGCTGCGTATGATGTCTGAAATTTTGTTGCCTACATTTTCTTGGATTTTTATGGATTCAAGGGTCACATTTCAGTCTTTTATCCATTTTGAGTTTATTTTTGTGTATGGTGTAAGTTGATGGTCTGGTTTCACTTTTTTTTTTTTTTTGCATGTAGCTGTCCAATTTTCCCAACACTATTTATTAAAGAGACTGTCTTTACTCCATTGTAGGCTCTTGCCTCCTTTGTTAAATATTAATTGAACATAATGTCTTGGGTTCACTTCTGGGTTCTCTGTTCTGTTCCACTGGTCTATCTGCCTGTTCTTGTGCCAGTACCAGGCTGTTTTGATTACAGTAGCTTTGTAGTATAACCTGATATCTGGTATTGTGATCCTACCTACTTTGTCCTTTTTCAAGATTGCTGTGGCTATTCGAGGTCTTTTTTGGTTCCATATGAACTTTTGAAGTATTTTGTTCTAGTTCTGTAAAATATGTCCTTGGTATTTTGATGGGGATTGCATTGAATCTGTAGATTGCTTTGGGTAGTATGGACATTTTAATGATGTTAATTCTTACAATCCATGAACAAGGTATGTGCTTCCACTTTTTTTATATCTTCCTCTATTTTTTTTTTCAATGTCCTTCAGTTTTCTGGAAATAGGTCCTTTACTTCTTTGGTTAAGTGTATTCCTAGGTATCTTAATTATTTTGCCGTGATGGTAAATGGGATTGTTTTTTCAGTTTCTCTTTCTGTGAGTTCATTGATGTATAAGAATGCCATCAGCCCTGGCCGGTTTGGCTTAGCAGTTGGAGCATCGGCCTGCGGACCACAGAGTCCCGGGTTCCGTTCCTGCTAAGGGCGTGTACCAAAAAAAAAAAAAAAAGAATGCCCTCGATTTCTTGACGTTAATTTTGTATCCTGCTACTTTGCCAAATTCATTTATTAAGTCTAGTAAATTTTTGATGGAGTCTTTGGGGTTTTCTATGTATAGTATCATGTCATCTGCAAATAATGACAGTTTCACTTCCTCCTTTCCAATTTGGATCCCTTTTATTTTTTCTTCCTGTCTGATTGCTGTGGCTAAGACTTCAAGTACTATGTTAAATAAGAGTGGCAACCTTCCTTCCTCCCCTCCTCCCCTCCTCCCCTCCTCCCCTCCTTTCTTCCTTTCTTCCTTCTCCCCAGATAAATCCCAGAACGACAGAATCGATATCCATGCACAGTCCATCTGACCTGTGTCAGTGTCAGACGCTCAGTAGATGGATGTCAGACAACAGAAGGAAAATGAGGGCCCAGGAACACAAGGCCCCCTTGGACACGCGTCCGGCACTGGACACCACCTTATCTTCCAGGCACCAAGGTACCGGAGCTCCTGCCTGAAGGCAGAAATCTCAAACTTGTTATATCACAGGAGACAAAGCGCACGTCCTCCGCGTCCTGTCAAGCTGGGGCTGGATTCGGTTTCTTTCCTTTGCCGTTTGCTAACTCTGGAGTTTTAATTACAAATACACAAAACAAAAGGAAATGAAACCATAACCCGGACCTCCCCACCCCCGGCCCAGAACATTTACTCTGCTGAAACTCGTAAAAAATGGCTCAAGTCAGGAATTAGGGCTTTGCTTTCAGGACTGGCCCTACACGCCGCCGGGTGGAGAGGGCTCTGACTGGAGTAGAATCAAGTTCCCGGCCCCTCACATCCATGCCCCTCATGATTTCCTGCCGTTTTCGCCATCCCTGGGTTCCAGCAGAATCCGCCCAGCTGCTGGGTAGGAAGATCCTCCATCACCACCCTCGTTTGCTCCCTGGGCGGTTGAAAATGAACACATGCAGGAGCCCAGCTGTGAGGCTCGGATTGAGCGTGGACCCTGCACCTAGAGGTCCAGGTTTGATTCCCCGTCAGGCGCATACCCAGGTTGTGGGCACGATCCCCAGTGGGGGGCATGCAGGAGGCGGCCAGTCGATGTTCTCTCTCATTGATGTTTCTATCTCTCTCTCCCTCTAAAAAAAAAAAAAATCAATACAGAAAAAAAGTAAAAAAAAAAAAAAAGAGGCGAAAGTGGGCATCCCTGTCTTGTTGCTGTTCTTAAGAGAAATGCTTTTAGTTTCTGCCCATTGAGTATGATGTTGGCTGTAGGTCTTTCATATATGGCCTTTATTATGTCGAGATATGATCCCTCTATTCCCACATTGCTGAGTGTTTTTATCAGAAATGGATGCTGGATTTTGTCAAATGCCTTTTCAGCATCTATCGATATGATCATGTGGTTTTTATTCTTCATTTTATTTATGTGGTGTGTCACATTTATTGATTTGCAAATATTATACCAGCCTTTCATCCCTGGTATGAATCCCACTTGGCCATGGTGAATAATTTTTTTGATGTATTGCTGGATCCGATTTGCTAGTATTTTGTTCAGGATTTTGACGTCTACATTCATCAGGGATATTGGCCTGTAGTTTGCTTTCTTTATAGTGTCTTTTTCTGGTTTTGGAATTAGAATTATGCTGGCCTTATAAAACGAGTTTGGAAGTCTTCCTTCTTCTTGAATTTTTTGAAATAGTTTGAGGAGAATGGGTGTTAGTTCTTTTTTTTTTTTTTTTAATTTTTCTTTATTTATTTTGGAGAGAGAGAGGTATCGATGAGAGAGAACACTGATTGGCTGCCTCCTGCATGCTCCCCACTGGGGATTTGGCCCACAGCCTGGGCATGTGCCCTGACTGGGAAACAAACACACGACCTCTTGGTGCATGGGAAAACGCTCAACCACTGAGCCACACCAGCTGGGCTTTTAGTTCTTTTTTGAATGTTCAGTAAAACTCCCCCATGAAGCCATCCAGGCCTGGGCTTTTGTTTGCTGGGAGAGTCTTGATTACCTCTTCAATTTCCTTAGTTGTTATTGGTCTGTTCAAGTTTTCTCTCTCTCCCTGGTACAGT